CATTAGTTTTATTCGAAGAAATAGCTTTATAATAGACAATTTTTTTTTCTGAGCCAAACTGTGCAGATCAACGGTATTTATATACCGATATCGATAACAGAAAAGAGGCACGAGAGGAACCAGCCTGTGATATCATGGCTTACATAGTAAACTCCGTTGTTTAATTTTGTTCATATGTTCTATTGGTACATTCTTTTCTTCCCATTTGTTATATAATGCCATGATATTAGGAATGAGAATAGAGAGATAAAGAACGAAGTACATCGTTTTTCTTATTCTATTCTGTTGGAAGACGAAGTCAAGGACAAATTAAGTACTCCGTTCTGTTTATCCATGGAGGCTACGCGTGCAAATAATATTGTTAGTCTATTTCTATTTGAATGCACTAAAAATACAAGAAATTCCAAAGATTAATAACCACACCTTCAATAGATGTTGAACTCACGCCAACAAATTCGTCAATTCTATCACATAAATTTTATTGTCGTGCGATCATTCAAGGGAAGAGAGCAAATTCAAGCAATAGATTTAAATGTCATTTTAACTCTTTGTGGTTACTTGACCTTGTTATATTGTATACTTTTTATCCAGTATAATTCATATGAATATTTTTCTCATTAGTCTGTACATTTTCATAACCATGAAATATTTTTTTTGTGTAAATGGATAACTTTAGTATTCAAATATTGTCGAACTCTTGTTTCTTATTCATGTTGATCATAATTTGAACAAATAGATTTTGACATTGGATACATAGTGCATCAAATATTTAAATAATTAGTATAAGTTCTACTACAAATTATGATGTCAACAGAAACAATGATTTTATTAAGTAGCTTATCATAATGAAACATCGATCATATCAATCAAATGTTGTACAAAATAATACTATAACTAAAAGATTATTTATTATATATTGTACTTATGTTTGTATTCAGAATTCTCTACAAATTTATAATAATGAAGTGTATGTTCATTTAATGACATAGTTTAATGCTGTACTACGTAGTTTTTTAAACAAAAAAGATAGAAACTGATTTTTTTTTTGTTTTCCTATTTTTAAATCTAAGCAGCTATGAATCAAAAATGTCCAGCAGAGATGCGACTGATTTGGATTTTTCACAACCGGTACCGGTAACTGGTCTAACTAGATCAGATCGAGTCGTTTTATTGGGTACTACTCGTCTGCTCTGAAATCGTTACCAACATGGAGCTCATGAGTGTTCATACGATTTCATCTGTGCATATTGATATTTGACGTAGTCAGCTTACAAAACAAAGTTTTATTTAAACATTTTCTTTGAAATAGCAAAGAAAAATAAAACACATTGGTTGTGATCGGTCTAACCCTTACCAACCGGTAATCGGTCTCGATTCAATCCCTGGGATTCAAGTAGAGGAGGGAGAAGTTGTAAATGTGGGGAAGAGAAGACTGATACCCACATCTAACCAGCTTACACTCACACTCTTGTGTCGTCTTTTTGTTGAAAAATTCTAGTACAGATAAAAATATATTGCTTTTTTGAAACACAACCTAAAACAAATGTTGAAGTATGTGAGTAGAAATTCGGAACTTTTCCCTTCCCATCTTCGCTTCTCCACAAATGTGACAGACATAAGGATAGAAACTTCGAGACTTCAACAAACATTGTTGATATTCTATCACATATCTTATATCAATAACTTGTTGTTATAATATATGAACTGCATCCTTATTGCACTTTTCGAATATTTGGTAAAAGTATCTTGATGAAACATATTCCAAATTAAAATAAATAAAACAACCTTATTGTGATTATTAATAGCAGTTGCATCGTTTTTCATGTTTTAATTCAGCAGAGTTTTCGTTAACAACTTTTTTACTAGTCTACTAGATGATACCGGCTGTCATCTGACGAAAATGGGATTATTCCGCCTCATCAAATTTTTTGAAATATAGATCAAAAGTAATAAAATAAAATTATTTACTGGTCGAATAATTTTGACAGATACTATATATAAAGACGATGAATTTACTGTGTATGATTCATTTCTAGAACAAAAATACATATAAAACATCTTTCTTGAATGGAAAAATTTTATTTTTGGCAAAGCAGAACGTTTAAAATGTGCATCAGTTGAGTAAAAATAATTCTTTGTTAAACATTATTTACAGTGTATAGAAAACGTCATCAAACTGTTAAGAAGAAGAAAACCACGGTCTGTTTCTCATCATCAATTACATATGGATGAATACCATAGTATAAAGGAATGTATGTTCTTGTCGTGATGAACGTTAATTGCGAGATATTTTTTATCCTGAAAAAAAAAGAATTAAAATTCATTCTAGCAAAGAGAAATAGAAAATATTTTTGTTTGTTTATGAATATCAAGTGAGATAATTGAATAATAGGGTGCTGCTTTTTTCATCAATTTACAAACGATGAATACTACATCAAACAGTGTTAACAGGGCTCTTTTAGCTGCACCTTATCAATTGAACATATGGCTTGGCTTATTTATTTGGATGACTGGTAATCTTGGTTGTATTGGAAATATGATTGTATTTAGTTCTCGAACATTTCGCAAGCGAGCTTATGCAGTTTATCTATTATCGGAAGCAGCATCTAATTTTATTTACTTTGATTTTTTATTACTTACACGAGTACTTCAAAAAGGATTTCAAATTCCAATAACTACACGTTATGATGTCATCTGTAAACTTCGACAATTTGATTCCGTCTGGAATCATGAAGTTTCGCTTAGTTTGTTTTCATTAGCAATAATTGATCGAATTTTATCTGTACAATATTTGAATAGTAAGTTTAGAAAATGAACATGAATTAATTAAGTTTGAAAATAGGAAAATTAAAATTAGAAGGCTTTATATATCTTTAGCAGTAATTTATGATGACAATCAATTATCATCTCTAGATGTAATTTCTTTGATTCGATATTCGAAAATGAAAATAAATTTTCGTGAATCTTACAGGAGGATGCAACAAAAACTTCTCTCTCAAAATATACAGTTCACATCAAAATTATATAAACAAAGTTTATTTTCAATTTCTATATGCTACCGTATTTGAACTGTATATGTTCAAAAAACTAAGGTTTTAGTCTTCCGGAATGCCTATCTTTGCACATATGACAATAATTTTCAGTTTATTATGTTCATGTTAAAAGCCATTTTCTTTATATGAATCACTCTTTAGATTTTTTCTAGTGCTTAAAATAGTGGAAAAAATTGAAATTAAATCTGTTTTGAATAATTTTGATATTCACTGTATGAATGACTTTTCGAAAAAAGGGCAACATTTTCACAGATTTTCAGAATCAAACTTCGATCATACTAACCTGTTTTTCTAAAGTTTTTTTTTTTAGTTTTAGAAAGACAACTTTTTTATTTCCATCAGCATTGAATAAACATTCTTATATAATTTAAGCAGGAAAGATGGTTCTTGTTGACGTTATCTGTAAAGTGTTTATAAAAATCCCACTAAGATATATTATGAATGTACCATTTTAGAATGTTTTTATTTCTGGATTGGAATGCAAAATTAATGTTTGAGCATGGTTTCCAATTAGAAGAAATTTAAAACTCCTCTGACTCAGCTCAAGACAGTCAACACTTCTTTTCATTTTATAGATCTCAATGAGAGTAAACTTTTGTTCCATCAGACCTTTTATAGTCGATTTCTGTGTTGAGAAAAGTGATATTTTTTGTGCTTATTTTTATCACTATATGTACTAAAAAAATTATCAAAAAATAAATAGAAGTAAATTTCAAAATTATTATTTGAACTCAAACTGCTCACAGATTTTAAATTTAATTTGAAACTACTGCTAGCTCTACACATCTCGTAGAGACAAAATTATAAGGATTCTTCTAAAGAACGTAAATGAATTACAAGTAAGCCAAAAGTTTACTGTAGTTTGACTTATTGGACTGTATTTTTTTTTGCAATCATTTATCACTAAGGCTACGTATTTCTGAAAATTTCAGCTTAAATGAACCTTTCTAAGTGGTAGATCTAATGTAAGGAAGCGAGCCATTAAGACAAAATAACTTATCGAAATTCATCACTTAGTCACAGATTCGGTGGTTGGATATTTGTTAACATTGTTTTTTTCTTTTTTTAGCGAATACACAGAAATCCCTCGTTTTCATCTTTGCAGAACTGACCCATGTGTTTACTAGCAAAAAAATATCCGGTGGTCTTTTTTATGAAAGTTTTGTACCATGATGTATTGTTTAAAACGAGTGAACATTTTTGAAGTCTTTTCAAGATGATAGAATTGGATCGTTTTCGATATGTGTTGTTAACATTGACGCATACGAACTACCTGTACTAGTCACAGAATCCAAATTGCTTCCAGTTATGAAATAAATTTTTACTATAGATGGTACTACCAAAATTATTATTCTTAAAATATATTCTGATACTGTTTTCTTCTCGGCTAGTTTGAATTCTTTCTAATAAATTATTAGAATTTTGGTAGAAAACACTTTCCCTAATTGTTTGTAGCTCGAACAACAGGTCTTTAGCGCTGGCACCGGTTCTCATGAGTACTTTGGTATATTGGCAATAGAACGTACAAATGTCGGACATGAAGAATCTCAAAGAAGCGTAGTCTTTATTCCACAAGCTATAAGTTTGTAGGTAGGCGTGTATTAGAATGATTGCTTTTACTAATTAATAGAAATAAGTATTTTCTTGCCAGAAAAGTTTTTTATCCCGATGAGAAACTTCTATTGTATGAGAGAAGGAAGCTTTTACACATTTTTCTTTTCATTTAAGAATATATTCAGTGGAGCAATCGTGTAGAACTAGCTTACAAAATGTGTATTGCATGCGTACTCTTTTGGCTATTATTTTTCGGTCATCGACTTGTTTTATATAGTACTAGAAATGGAACATGTGCTCCTCTACCAGGCTTTTATGCACATTTTGATAATTATGTTGAAGTGTTTTTTACAGCAATGACTACGCCGTTAGCAATGATTGTACTTGGATTTTTATTAATACGAAGTGTTCGAGGCATTATTGAACGAAAAATCGTTCCTAATAATGATCGACCGCCGGTAACAATTGCACAACGATCAGCTCTTCAACAGGTTGATTCACAACTTACATTGATGCTGCTATTACAGATAATCATTGCTATAACAACGCGTGTACCATATGCAGTGCAACTAATCTATACAAATATTACTCAAAGTTGGCCAAAGTCAGCTTTACAAATTGCTATAGAAAACGTTATGGTTGAATTGGTTCATTTGCTATCTTACACATTTTTTACTTCTAGTTTCTATGTATCATTTATTTCAAATAATGGTTTTCGTCAAAAATTTAAAAAATTTTTTAAAATTACAACTTGAAGATCCTACAACTCAATACATACTACTTTTCGTACCAATAGAACTAATAATATACATCTTAAACAGTTGTTTTTAAATAGAAGAACAAATATATTTTGGGAAATAAAGTGATCTTACAACATAAAACCAGCAGAATGTCTATTCGAAAAAATTTATCATCCAATGAAATTCAAGTATTGTATCGATTCATTTCCAATTTCAGATCAATACACATTTAGTGATTGCCATTCAAGTCAAATTTTTATTGGAAAAATATATTGTTTTAGAGGAATTTTAATTAATGCTCATTATTTGAAAAGAGATTTCCGCGGGTCAAATAATTTCTTTTTTCTTCTCTTGAAAATTGTTAAATTTCTCATACACCATAAGCACGCACTATAGAACAAAACCTTACCAGCGAAAGTGTATCTTTGTGAAGAACTATTTTAGATTTTGCTACCCTTGACAAACTTAAAAAAAAATCTCTCTACAACTTGTTTGTAGAGGAATGAATTACGAATCTTATGACCAAGAAAGAAAAACATAGCGAAAAAAATACTGAACATAAAAACTAGGCTATTATTTTCGTAACGTCCGTCACAATTCGTCATTTCTCGGTTTTGATTAAAACTGGGTGTCTCATACCTCATACTAACTACAAGTTTTATCATTCGAAACATTTTTGAGTCAAATTGAGTTTTTAAATCGTTTGACTCTGTCTATCGACTGTTTCATGAAGGTCACCTGTGAATTTTGATATTTACGCAAGATAAGAGCATAAAAGGAAAAACAAACATATTTTTCTCTAGTTCTTCAAAGTTACTTTTCGCACAAATGTCATGACAGTAAATGATCTACTATTGCTTTGTCTGTTAGCATTCATCTCTCGATTATTCAGTTTGAATATAATGATGATTACTATCGGTACAGCTGGTCATGTTATTTGATATCGAAACAAACTCAAAATATGAATTTGTTAATGAACAGAACAGTGTATACATTGATGATGGAAAAATTTAATGTAATCATTGCTAGTTGATTGGTTTTTGATGTAAATGCATTATGCAAAGAAGTAAACATCAGTTGTATGACACTTACTGCAACAGTAATGCCGAGTATCAATCACTCTAACAGACACTCATTCTTAACATCAGAGCAAATGTCAGAATTCAAATACCGTATCTATCATATTGCTTTTACTGTACTTGTGATGATATACATTGCGAAACAAATGATTCAATTGATCTACACAATGTTTCATTCATTTCCAAAAATACTAAGACCATTTTATGATGCTTTTAAATGGAGTAACATTTTGTTCACCAAATCGAAATGTCTAAATTTGATTCCTGGTTCACCAACACTATCGACAAACCGATATGTCTCATGATACAATGTATCTGGGTACATTTGTAGATGAGTTCATATTGACCATGAACTTACGAGATG